ATTCCCGGTAGATCCCCCTGCACTTTTACTTTGGGACTGCGGGTTAGATTCCCAATAGATCCCCCTGCACATTGATGGTTGGACTACAGGTCGGTATCCCGGGAGATCCTTCGGTTTGGTACATGAGTTGGACTACGGGACGGTATCCCGGGAGATCCACTGGACAGTTGAGAAAAGGGCTACAGGACGGTATCCTGGGAGACCCTCATTGTTATCATTGATATCGAGCTGTATTTATTCTGTGTTTACTCTGTTCTTTTGTAGTTGTTATTGCCTCGTTGACCTGCCTTATCTCGCTGCTGTACTCATTATTTCTGTCAGATTTTCATACTGTTAATTATTATTATTATATTTTGCTTCAGTAGGGCCCTGACCTTCCTCGTCACTACCCAACCGAGGTTAGGCTTGGCACTTACTGAGTACCGCTGTGGTGTACTCATGCACTTCCTGCGCATGTTTTTCATGTGCAGATCCATGTACCTCTTATCAGGCGCACTATCCTTGAGGCGAGGAGATACAAGGAGACTTCAAGGTATATGTGCAGCGTCCGCAGACCGAAGAGTCTTCTTCCTTATTCTAGTTGTAGAGCTGTTATCCTATCATACTTTTGATGTAGATATTCTGGAGATTAGAGTACTTATGGTAATTCTATTAGCCTGTGTTTCCCGTGAGTTTCCGGGTTTTGGGATTGTGTTGTAGACTTCTGCATATCTTTAGAGTTGTATAGGCCGAGCGGCCTTTTATTCAGTTGTTATTTTCCATATGTTCGGTTTTAATTGATTATTCCTCAAGTTGAATTGTTATTTCCGCATTGTTAGGCTTACCTAGTTGTAGGAACTAGGTGCCATCACGACATGTTCATGGAGGGTGAACGGGGGTCGTGACATAAGTATATGATGGGTAAGAATTGGCTACTTATTAAGAATAGGACATTACCGGAATACTTGAATGGTGTGGAATATTTTTTGAACTTTGCATTTTCTAATCCTGAGGTTGGTGTAAGAATCCAGTGTCCGTGCATTAAATGTAATAATGTACTTAGAAAATCATGCGATGATGTGAAGACGGATTTACTTAGGTGGGGAATAGATCCGACCTATAATAGGTGGATTTATCATGGCGAGTCGCATTCACCTTCAAATGATGAAACAAATTCTGATACAGATTCAAATTTAGGGAATGATGATGCTCGCACTTATGAAATGTTGCATGACATGTATCATGGTATTCCCTCTAATAGTCGCGAGTTTGATGAGACTACCGAGTCTAGGTACGAAGAGCCAAATATAGAAGCTAAAAGTTTTTATAGGTTATTAAAGGATGCAGAGCAAAAGTTGTATCCAGATTGTGAAAAGTTCTCCAAACTCTCGTTTGTTATGCGTCTTTTTCAGATGAAGTGTCTACATGGCTGGAGTAATACTTCTTTTGACTCTTTATTGAAATTATTGAGTGATGCTTTTCCCAAAGGAAATATGCTCCCTAATTCTCTCTATGAAGTTCAAAAGATCATAAAATATTTGGGTCTAGATTATGTGAAGATTGATGCATGTGTTAATAATTGCATTTTATATAGAAAAGAATATGCTGATCTTGAGCAATGCCCTAAATGTAGTGAAAAAAGATGGATAGCAAGGAAAGGAGAAGATATTGATGATGAAGTTGCTTCAAGAAAATTAAATAAGAGAAATAAAAGAATTCCTAGAAATATTCTTAGATACTTTCCTTGGATACCAAGATTAAAACGATTATTTATGACAAAACAAACTGCGGAAGATATGAGATGGCATAAAAATAAGAGAGTTGATGATGGAGTATTAAGGCATCCAGCTGACTCATTGGCATGGAAAACTTTTAATGAAAATCATTCAAGTTTTGCATCAGATGCGCATAATGTAAGACTTGGGCTTGCTTAAGATGATTTTAGTCCTTTTGGTATGAGTAATGCCTATAGCATGTGGCCAGTAGTCTTAATTCCATATAATCTCCCCCCGTGGCTATGCATGAAACAATCTAATATTTTGTTATCTATGCTTATTCCTGGACCAAAAAGTCCTGGTATGAATATCGACGTATATCTCCAACCCTTGATTGATGATTTAAAAACCTTATGGGAGAGTGGAATTGAGACTTATGATGCTTTTAAGAAAAAAAAATTTTCATTTGCGTGCTGCTTTATTATGGACGATTAGTGACTTTCCAGCTTATGGTATGTTATCCGGTTGGAGCACTAAAGATAAATTAGCTTGTCCAGTTTGTCATGTACATACATGTTCCATTTACTTGAAACATGGTAGAAAACATTGCTATATGGGTCATCGTAGGTTCTTAGAGATAAATCATCCTTATCGCCGTAATAAAAGTTCTTTTGATAATACAAAGGAGGAAAGATCTGCACCACAAGCTTTGAGTGGAGACGATATTCTTGCACAACTTAATACATCTTCACAAGGCTTAGTTGGTGGCAGCACAAAAAAAAAAGAGATGCCGTACGATGTGACAATTGGAAGAAAAAAAGTATATTTTTTGAACTCCCATATTGGAGGACTTTATTGTTGAGGCATAATTTGGATGTAATGCATATTGAAAAGAACATTAGTGAAAGTGTGATAGGAACTCTGTTGGATATTGAAGGAAAAACAAAGGACACATTGAAATCTCGATTGGACATACAAGAGATGAAAATCAAAAAGCCCCTTCATCCAATAAAAAGTGGGGATAAGTACATACTTCCTCCAGCAAGCTATACAATGTCTAAGGCTGAGAAGATTCAATTTTGTCAACTCGTCAAAAAAGTTAAGTTTCCTGATGCTTATGCTTCTAATATTGGTCGTTGTGTCAATATTAATGAAGCTAGAATATATGGACTGAAAAGTCATGATCTCCATGTCCTTTTTCAGCGTATTGTTCCACTTATCATCAAAGGAATTTTGCCAAAGGATGCATATGATCCTTTAATTGAATTATCATTATTCTTTAGTGATTTGTGCGCCAAAGAATTGCATGTGGAGAGGTTAGAGAAACTAGATAAAAGTATACGGATGACAATTTGTAAATTAGAACGTGTGTTCCTGCCAACATTCTTTGATGTTATGATTCATTTGGCAAATGAGGCAAAAGTGGGTGGTCCTGTTCAATATCGATGGATGTATTACATCGAAAGGTTAGATTTTTACTTAATTGAATTGTTCTTTTAGAAGAAACTTGTTATAAAACTAATTTATCTTTACTTAATAGATATCTGCGCACGTTAAAAGGTTATGTACGCAACCAAGCTTGCCCTGAAGGATCAATTGCTGAGGGCTATCTTGCGGAAGAGTGCATGTTATTTTGTTCTAAATATTTGACTGATATGGAGACGAAGCAAAATCGTCCAGATAGAAATTTTGATTCTCCCAACATAAATCCCAATGGCTTGTCCATATTTAACTGTCATGGTAAGTCATTAGCAAGGGGTGATTGGAAAAGCTTGAGTAATCTTGAAATCAACCAAGCTCATTTTTATATCCTCCAAAATTGTGAGGAAGTCAGACCTTGGATTGAGTAAGATAATTTTTTATTTACTTACATCCTTTTCTTCTTATGAATACCTTTAACGACTATGATTCAATATTCTTTATTTTTTTCTTCTAAATCTTCCAATCCATAGAGAACATCTAGATATATTGGCAAAGCAGAATAATAGAAATGTAGCGAAGAGGCACAAGGAGGAATTTCCTTTGTGGTTTGAAGAAAAGGTAAACTATATCATTTGATGGTAGTTTATCTTTATTTAGGATAAATTTTGAATTTTACTTTCATAAGGAGTATTAAAGTTTTTGACTTTGTACACAAAATATTATAGGTGGTCCAGTTAAAAAAGAATGGTGATGGTCGAGTTACTGATGAATTGCTAGCTTTGGCAAGACTTCCGGATAATCGTGTTTATTGCCATAAAGGATATATCTTAAATAGTTTTAGGTTTCGAACAATGGAATCTGAGCTGTTTTTAAAAACTCAAAATAGTGGTGTAGTTGTAAAGAGTGACGAGCATACAAAAAATGTGGATTATTATGGAAAGATAAGAGAGATTTTAGAGATCCAATATATGGGTAATTCAGTCATATTATTCCAGTGTGATTGATTTGAAGTTCCTCCCCAAGGTCGAAGTCAAAGCAGAGGTTACGAAAAGGATGAATATGGATTCATACATGTAGATGTGACACGACTCCACTACACAAATGATCCATTCATTTTAGGGTCGCAAGCTCAATCTGTGTATTATGTTAAACATGGGCAAAGCGAGAAATGGCATGCAGTGGTAAGGGTAAGACTACGAAATTTGTATGATATTCCAGAACAAGAAGATGAAGCGGAGCCATATCAATTAATTGACTTAGTTGGAAGGGAAGAAGCAAGTCTTCAAGCAGAGTCGGACAATGATACCATCATGATACAAAGAGAAGATATTGATGGAGTAAGTGTTGAAGCACATCCTCTTAATAATGAGGAAGAAGTAGATTTAGAAGTTGAGGATGAATCTGATCATGAAAATGGGGATGACTTTAGTAATTTTGCAACAGATGAGAATATGTTTCTGAGGAAGAATATAACGAAAATGAGGATGATGATTGGTTGTGATCTTCAACTAGTCTTCAAGACAACTTTGCTTATTTCAATCGCTTTCTTCGCATGACTTCTGTTTCTCCATCACCTCGCCGAAATGGTTAATTTATACTTTCTACTACTTCTATTTTTTATTTTTTATTTTTTGTGATTTTTTCTTTGTAACTTTATTTTTTTCTCATTATTTCTGAACATATTTTACCTTTTCTTATCATTTTACTGCCTTCACTTCTACATTTGACTAATATCCAATAATATATTTTTTTTAAAATATGTTGCAGCCTATCATGTCAGCAAATGTGCATGTTTCTAATGATACTGAACTTGCTGCCGATGTAGTTTCAAATTCACATCCAGGTAAGTTATCTCATTTATTAAAATTCCAGCCTTTTAAAATCCCTAGCACATTCCCTATGTCAGTGCCTTCATTCTTGGGTGGTTATGACTTCTTTGTCGTATACCTACTTTCTGGAGCAAGCAAAGACGATGAACAATAAGGTTGGACACTGTATTCCTATGGTTCCAGTTAGAAGCAAGAGAACAATTTCCAAAACTATATCACATACTTGTGAATTGGCGATGGGGTTCTAAAGCAAAACCATCAGCTCCTAGAGTGGGGGTTGCAGTATCCATCATTTTGGGTGTATTATGCATTATTACTGCTGCAAAAGTGGAGTCAAGAAGACTTGCTGTGATAAGTACTACTGGACTCTATCATGGCTATTAGCTATTGCATTTGTTTTGTTTATTGTGATTAGTTAGTAGCTATTGAAATTTTGAAAGAGGTTCTCACTTCTGAGATCTGATGTAGTAGATTCTTCTAAAGCTTGCGATTGTTGTGTTACAACTGTAAACTTCAGCTACAACAGAGCACGAACCAAGCAAATTCCAACCTCATCTTCTATTGGCAGATGCTTATTTCAAATGCTATGACAACAGCAAGCAATCATTCTGATAATTAATAGTGAGCTAGTCCTTTCTAGCTATTGAGTTTGATAGATCAATGACCCAAGTTTGAAGCGTGCGCATATAATGTTAGTCTGTAAAAGTAAATAGAAGGGGTATTAAGAGCACTATAAAATTACAACTTGGGAATGAAACTACAGGTAGAAGAAGATTAAACAGAGAAAATTAAGGGAATGCAAGGATCATCATAATTATCTAGCTGCTCCAATTTTTACAAGTACAGAGCTATAATCATCTAATAATCACAACAACTTATTGATTGAGGATAAACACCTAAATATTTTCCTATGTTGCTGTAGGAAAAAAGAGAAAGGGAAGGGGGAAGACAACAGGGCTTTCAGTTCAAAAGAAATGGAAAGACAGTGACAACGGAAAGTTAAAGGTGATTATTCCACCGGATAGAACAGTAGCAGTAGGCCCTGGAGCTAAAGATTTTGTTACCGAGCTCTCAGTCAAAGTTCTCCAGCATGCTAGGCATGATGTCAAGAAATGGAAGGAAGTCCCTAATCTAGCAAAAGATAGAATTGTTGCTCATATGCTGGTAACTCACTTTGTTTCTTCTTGATCACCTGATCAATTCTAGTAAAAGTTGGTTTCTTTATTGATTAGTTGATTTAATTTTTATTTATGAACTTACTTTTTTTACGACTCATTTGATTAACTTAGCTTATGAAAAGTATACAACAAAGAAGCAGCTATGTTGTATGCTTTTGAAATTGAATTATTCACCAGAACAAGGATGTAAGTATACAAATAAAGTATACTAATAATTTATTAGTGGTAAACCAACTTTAGAGCAGCTGACCTAAAAGGTCCCCAAATCATTGGCATACAATGAAAGTTCTATTCTATGCAAGCTTACTTAAGTAATTTTTGAGTGCAGGACACTTTTCAACTTCCGGACACAACACAATCGTGATACTATCCTTCAAACAGGCAATAATTTGTACCGATATCGTCGTAGTAGGCTCCACGATCATTTCAAAAAATTTGCTACGAAGGAGGAAAGCTTGCAAAATATGCCAGCAGAGGTTAGTGAAGCTGAATGGAATTTTTTAGTGGACTATTTCAGTTCTGATGCTTTTAAGGTAATTAGGAGTACATCAAAATTGAATGAATTTAACTTTATAATATTGCTTACTTTCTTAGTGTACTTTCTTACTTAAATTAAAACATATTCATGCAGCAAATGAGTGAACGAAATAATACTAACAAGGAAAAACAAGAAATGAATCATATTTGTGGCAGAAAGTCCTTCCAAGCAGTATCTTTTGATGCGGTAAGTTGTCTTTGTTTTGATTAATTTCGATAATTTTTTCTTCAATAACATAATATAATTTGTTTTGCTAGAGAGATCCAAGAATCGGTAAAGAGCCAAATCTTCAAAAACCTTGGAAAATGACTCACATGAAGTCAGGACATTGGGTTAATGATGTCTCTGCTGAATTTAATGTACATACGAACCTCTTATCTTTATCCGAGAATATGAGTCGATTGAAACAAATATTGAAATTTTAAGCTGGTATAATTGTTTGTAGGATAAGTTGACAGAAATTGTTGCTGAACAAACTCAAGAAGTGGAAGAGGGTACTGATGTGGACCCTATTGTTAATGCTGCTTTTGTGAAACTTGTTGGTGAAAAGTCAGGATATTGCCGCGGTCAAGGATCAGGAGTCAAGCCACCTAGTAGGAGATCTATGCATGTAACTCAAGAGCAACTGCAAGCACAACAGAAGAAGGTGGAAGAAGAACGCCATAAACGAGAGAGTGTAGAGTGCAAACTAATAGAAGTGGAAAATCAACTTGATGAGGAGCAGAAAAAATGAGAAGTCATGGAAGCTCGTCTACTGAGTGATCAAAAAATGTTAAAACAGAGCATGATGGCACTAGTATCCTATATGCAAAGTTCCGAGGTATTTATTTTGTTTAAGACGTTAAAGTTTCCATTACTTTTTTTTGGCAAATTCCTGGAAATCTGCTCAACCTGCTGCAGCTTGTTTTTGTTTGGAATGCGTCTTTTGCTGGACACCAGTGTCCAATCTTCCCTGGTTGATTTCCTTGCTATTCCATCATCCTTAGATTTAACATCCATTGATCCAATATCATGTCTAGTATTTTCCCCATTACTGCTGGAAATTTCAGCGTGCAAACTAGTATCACGATCCTGTTTATCTAATGATTGTTGTCCATGTTTTGAACCTGCTTCTAACGTATCAGCAGCCTTGTTGTTAGCAGATGTTCCACTAATTGCACGAGCATCTCCCTTGCCAAGAATTCCAGTAGCTTTATCTCCCTTGCCAAGCTCCTGTCCTTCCCTGTTAACAGGAGTAGCTTTAAAAGCTACTTGAGTAACCTATTGGATTATTGAAGTTCTTGATTGGTGATTTGATGCTCTTAAATGTTGGGGACTCTGATAAAATTTAGAATAGATGTGGAACTAAAACTGAATCTTGGTATATCTAACTTTGCCTCTTTGCTAAGTTCTTCTATAATCTTCACGGTATGATATTAGCATCATCATCTTTAGTGTATATAGTCCTCCACTTTCTGCTTTGCGTCTCTGCTAAATTCTTCTATATTTTCACAGTATGATATTAACAACATCATCTTGTTGCTAGTTCCTGTTCTAGCTTTTCAGTATTGTACCTTTACTCCTTACAATTACCTTGCTTCTAATATCCTGGCATTAAGTAAACATGGAATCTCTTGGCATGACATTAAGCAGTGAGTCCTTTTAGGAACTCCAGCCCAGCTATTTTCTCCTTCCCTTCAGTTGGTATTGTACAGTAGATTGATTACCACTCTTGTCCACATTAGTTTTATCTTGTAAGGCAGAACTCACAGCATTATAAATCCTTGCTAAAGCTGTTGAAGCAGGAATACCAGCTGGTAATTTGGATTTCACAACAGCTGATGCGACCTGTAGCTTTTAAATTATCTTGCCCAGCCTTCGACTTGTCCTGTTTATCCCAATTCACTTGCTCAGTTTCTAGAATGTCAACCTTACCATCACTACCTCCATGATCTACCAGTGCAACCCTTTGTGGAAAACCAACATTACTTGATTTTGATCCTGTGAACAATTTTATTAAACTACTTGAGAATAAAAGAGATAGCATCGCTTTTCCATGAATTGAAGCTAACGAGTGATTTTACTCTTCTCTAAGGAAAAATTGTCTGTTGAATTTTTTCCTAGTGGTTATGTTACTTCCTATCGTTTTAGCTTCCAGTGAAGTGAAATATTCATCTCTGAACCTTCTAGCATGATAGTTTACTTTTCTTCATGATTTATTTTATTCATTTTTTAAAATTGTTAATAAGGAACTTTCTATAGAGTTTCTGTTTCAGGCCTCTATGTAGAGTAAGAGAGTATTTACCTTTGAAATGCCACAATTTTACATTTGAAATGCAATAGAACAGAACACTAAGCACAAAATGGTCCTAAAGCACATGAAAGTGAATTTTCTATTATCAGTTATAATAGAAACTAAAGGAGCAGTAAGCATTAATTTATTTGTCATTTCTACGAGATATTAAATATCTAAGGTATAAAATGCTCTATGTGGATGTTGTCTCTTTATTTGAAGCTCTGAAAACTACTGTGTTCTGCTGAAGGAAACTTGTTCTATTATTTTTTATATTAGAAATTAGCTTCTTCTAGGTTCTATCATGTTAAGTTTAGTTCTACGATGTTTAACAGACTGGAGTTCCTGCTGCAATTTTTGACATGATTGCTAATTTAAATGGTTCGGATGAGACAAGTACTACAAGTCTTATGGATGCTATCATGGTAAGTAAACTTATTCTAGTTCATGTGAAAGGAAGTTTGTTGGTTGTATATGGAAATGAGTCTATTTGCATAAATCAATCTTTGTTTAGTATTTTGTTTCGAATATAATATTGTGTCTGTGGGCGTATTTAGTAGGTTCTTACGCAACTTTATTTTGGGGAGTACTTTAATCAAGATGTCTTAAGTTACATGTACTTTGGTGAGCCTATAGAACATGTGACTTGATGGATGAATGCTGAGGGTAAATAAATTCGAATCGAGCTTGTTTTCCTGTTTTTCTCTGTTGGCTCTCATCATAACTCATTGCGGTTTTGGAATTTCTCATAATTTCTTTAGAAGGCATGCATAAAGTTACATATACTCCTGCAAACACAGTTTAAATTAAAGAGCAAATTTCACCAAGCAATCCCAGTTTTCACCTAATAGACATTTATTTAGTCTTTTGTTTTGTTGCTTACATCTGGATTTTGTTTTATTATTTTCTAATTGAAAGACCAAACCTTAGTCCTCCCTCTTTTTCCTTTTAGAGAAAATACTCATTTGGCCTTCCTGGAAGGAGCTTGGAAAATAGTAAAAGTTTCTAATTTTTCGAATTTCAACTGGGCTATCTTAAGACTTTAGCTGTGAAAAATTGTCTCTGGACTGTACTACTGATTGAATATGCTTTTTGAAAGGAGAGATCATATTTGTGCACACCACAAGTTGGAACTAAATTAATGTCTATAGAACATGTACACTGGCATCTTTGTCTTTACTTTGTGTTTGTGTGTGTTTAATTCAGTGCGTATGGATGCGCCATAAAGAGGCAGTGATGACGATGTTTCTCTTAGCCCTTTTTACTTGAAAGAAAAAAAAAAAAAAAAAGAGAAAAGAGAATCGTTCCCTGATTTAATATTTGGATATGCCGAACCTGCAATTTTCTGTTTACATGGAACAAAGCAAATGCTCTGAAAGGAGAGAATGAGGCTACATAGCATATAGGAATTTTTGGTGAAAGGGTGGTTGCCTCTGGTTGCATTAGCCTAAGATTTCTCAAAATAATCCCAATAGCCCTTTCTTCGGGAATATGCAGTTTTAGGACTGCTATTTTACATTGGGAGATTTGCACCAAAAGGATCATTTGAATCTTCAATGCAGCAAAATAATCAAGGACTATAAAAATATAATTTAGGAGAATGAGATTTTGGCCTAAAAAATGTATACATGTTTTCCTCTTTGATCTTTTTTCCTGTCCCACTTCTTTTCCTCAATTCCTCTTCTGTAGTTAAAGAGGTTTTCACTGCTTTCATTTTATACTTTTGTACTTTATCTTTTTAATCAAAATCTAATTATATTTATCTTCTTTTTAGGATGAGCATGCGTAAACCAACATTCATGGCCATCCAGTTCATGTAATGCACAAGCTGTTGGAAGAAGATTTGTTTTTCGGGTTACTATTAGAATAGAACTTAAGAACCATGGATATATCATGCTTTTGTTCGTTTTGTATGTAAAAACATACTTTTACGACTATTTAGTTTTTGAAAGTGAGTATATCCACTGGAATCAAATTTATGTATAGACTCTTTATCTATATATATAATTTATTATTTCTACGTGCATTTGTGAAAATCTGAAAGAATATACAAAATTGTGTATTTAGTAACAACTCATAAATTATTGCTAAAGTAGTACTGGAGAATCTGTTGGCAAAAAAGTAATTATTGCCACAATAATAGTTGTTGCTAAAAGTCTTGATAACAGACTATTAACTTTACAAACCAGATGTTTTTAGCAACAACTGATATTGTTGGCAAAAAGCTAATTGTTTCACAACAATATTTTTTGTTGCTATATATCTTCATAATCTACGACTTTATTGGCTTTATACTAACAACAAATAACTTATGGCAACGATACATATTGTTGCGCTAGGTAAACTTTTGGCAACATTTTTTTCTGTTGTTGCATATACTTTTCCCATCGGTGTTTATTGCAACGGAGTGCAATAATTTTTTTGTTGTTGCTAAAAATACTTTTGGCAACAACATTGAATATATGGCAACAAAAAATATTGTTGCGAAACGCCTTCTTTCTTGTAGTGTACCCTCAAAGCTTGCAAAGCAAAACAATGAAAACCAATTCAAAAAGTTTATTGATATGCTGAAGAGTTTGTCAATTAGTGTGTCATTGGTTGAGGCATTGGAACAAATGCCAGGATATGCAAAATTCATGAAGGATTTGGTAACCAAGAAATGATCAATGAATTGTGAAACCATTAAGATGACTCACCAAGTGAGTGCTATTGTGCACTCAATGGCTCCAAAGTTGGAAGATCCGGGCGCTTTCACAATCCCTTCCACTATTGGGAGCGCCGATTTTTCCAAAGCATTATGTGATCTTGGGGCAAGTATCAACTTGATTGCCTACTCGGTGTTCAAAAATTTGGGAATTGGACAAACAAGACCCACATCCATGAGGTTGCAAATGGCGGATCGTATAATGAAGAGGCCTTTGGGTATTATTGATGATGTATTGGTTAGAGTTGACAAGTTCATCCTCCCAGCAAACCTTGTTATCCTTGATTGTGAAGTGGATTATGAGGTGCCTATCATTTTGGGCCAACCTTTCCTTGCTACGGGGAAGGCTCTTGTTGATGTGGAGGCCAGTGAGCTCACTTTCCGGGTGGGTGACGAAAAGGTGGTCTTCCATGTGTGCAAATCAATGAGGCAACCGAATAGTAATGAAGTTTTTTCGTTTGTGGATTCGGTAACCGACGTTATAGTTGATGATGCTAGTGCAACAATGAATGTTGAGGATAAATTGGAAGCCGTTTTGCTCAAACTAGATGATGATGAGGAGAGTGATGGCTATGTGGAGTGTGTAAATGCATTGCAAGGCATGGGGTCGTACACGTATGAGCCCCGAAAACTATCTTTGGATCTTGAAAATCGGAAGACTCCTCCAATAAAGCCCTCAATCGAGGAGCCTCCTACTTTGGAGCTAAATCCATTGCCCCCGCACCTCAGGTACGAATTCCTTGGCCCTTCCTCTACTTTACCAGTTATTCTTTCTTCGTGCTTAACTAACATGCAAGTAGAGTCCACATTGAAGGTGCTACAAAGGAGGAAAAGAGCAATCGGTTGGACTTCGGCGGATATCGGGGGCATAAGCCCTGCCTTTTGCATGCACAAGATTATTTTAGAGGAGGGTGGCAAACCTTCCATTGAACATCAAAGAAGATTAAGCAAAGCAATGCAAGAGGTGGTAAGAAGGATATTATGAAGTGGTTAGATGCAGGGGTTGTGTACCCCATTTCCGATAGCTCGTGACCTCTCCGGTGCAATGTGTCCCAAGGAAAGGGGGCATGATTGTGGTAACAAATGACAAGAATGAATTGGTCCCAACAAGAACCGTCACCGGGTGGAGAGTGTGCATGGACTATAGGAAGCTCAACAAAGTTACTTGGAAAGATTATTTCCCGCTTCCATTTCTTGACCAAATGCTTGATAGGTTGCCGGGCGTGCGTTTTATTGTTTTCTTAATGGATACTCCGGCTATAACCAAATCCTTATTTCTCCTGAGGACCAAGAGAAGACCACTTTCACTTGTCCTTATGGTACTTTCTCGTTTTTAAGGATGCCTTTTGGGTTGTGTAATGCACCGACGACTTTTCAAGGGTGTATGATGGCTATTTTCACCGACATGGTGGTGGACATTCTTGAGGTCTTTATGGATGATTTTTCTGTGGTTGGGAATTCGTTTGAAGATTGTTTGAACAATTTGGATAGGGTATTGGATAGATGTGAGGAGGCAAATTTGGTGTTGAATTGGGAGAAATGTCACTTCATGGTCGAGGAAGGCATTGTCCTCGGCCATAAAATTTCAAAACAAGGTATTGAGGTCGACCAAGCCAAGATTGAAGTGATCTCCAAACTCCCTCCTCCTACGTCCTTGAAGGAAGAGAGGCAATTTGACCGCGGACCGCGCAACTTGAATCATGGCAATTTTCACCTTTCTGAACTTCTCTTCCGCGGACCGCACATAATGGTAGTGCGGCCGCGGAGCCTTCATCGCGGACCGCACATAATGGAGTGCAGCCGCATTGCTTGAAGCCTTGATTTCTGAATCTCTGAATCTCTCTAGTGCGGACCGCACAAAGAGTAGTGCGGCCGCACTAGGCCTGTTCTCCTGAGTTTTGCCTTGTTTTAGGTACTTGAGCAGGTTTCACTCCTTTTGAGCCGATCTTTGATATTTCGTCACTTTGTCGATCAAACCTGCAATCAAGCACAACTTATGAGCCTCTTGGGACTATTTTGTAATAATTTATAATCAAAGCGTAAGCAAGAAGGAGCATAAAGATTCTAAAGCAAGGTTGATGCGATGAGTGCTTCTTTTGCAAGAGTTTGATCTAGAGATTCAAGACCGCAAGGTAGTGAGAATCAAGTGGTGCACCACTTAGGAGGAGGGGAGGCCACATGACGGCCTTGAGATCAATGATTCATTTCCCGACGAGCAACTCCTATCCGTTTCAATGACCGAGATGCCATGGTTCGCCGATTTAGCCAATTATCTTGTGAGCGGCATTGTACCGAATGAGTTCTCTTCAAACCAAAGGAAGAAGCTCAAACGGGATTGCTTGGACTATTATTGGGATGAGCCGTATATTTTTCGGATATGTACCCATGGTGTGATCCGGCAATGTGTGCCGGAAGACGAACAAATGAGAATTCTTGAAGCTTGCCACTCTTCACCGTATGGTGGTCACCATGGTGGAGCTAGAACGGCTACGAGGGTTTTGACTTGTGGATTCTATTAGCGTACCCTCTACAAGGACGCTAGTGAGCTTGCCAAGCGTTGTGATGAGTGTCAAAGGGCCGGATTGGGATTTCTAAGAAGAATGATATGCCTCTTACCACCATTTTAGAGATTGATATCTTTGATGTTTGGGGTGTTGATTTCATGGCACCGTTCGTGAGCTCTTGTGGGAACACTTACATTTTGATAGTTGTGGACTATGTGTCAAAATGGATTGATGCCGTGGCTTTACCCAACAACGAAGCTCGAAGTGTGGTGGCATTCTGGAAAAAGAACATCTTCACAAGGTTTCGTACTCCGAGGACCGTTATTAGTTATGGGGGTTCTCATTTTTGCAACCGGGCTTTTGATACCTTACTCACCAAGTATGGTGTCACTCATAAAGTCTCCACCCCCTACCATCCTCAAGCTAGCGGACAGGTTGAAGTCTCCAACCGAGAAATCAAGAGTATTTTGTCAAAGACTGTGAATGCCAACCGAACGGATTGGTCAAGAAAACTTGATGATGCTCTTTGGGCTTATAGGACGGCCTACAAGACGCCGATTAGGATGTCTCCATATCGATTGGTGTTTGGGAAGGCGTGTCATCTTCTAGTAGAACTTGAGCATAAGGCCATGTGGGCGTTGAAAAAGTTGAACCTTGAGTGGAATGTCACTGCAAACCTAAGAGTGGCACATTTGAATGAGCTTGATTAATTTCGGTATCATGCCTACACAAGTTCATCCCTTTACAAGGAGAAGATGAATTACCTCCATGACAAGTACATCCACAATAAGGAGTTCAAAGAAGGTGATGTTATGCTATTGTTCAATTCACGATTAAGGATGTTTCCGGGCAAGTTGAAATCAAAATGGAGTGGGCCCTCTGAAGTAGTGAACGTAACCCCCTTTGGTGCTCTTTATTTGAAAAATAAGAATGATGATGTTTATAGAGTCAATGGGCACCGGGTTAAACATTATCTTGGCAAGGTTGATGATGGCCACATTGTGGCGGTTCTTCATTTCAAGTGATTGGTAATCTGCGTTGTGCCGCGACGGTAAATTAGGCGCTTCTTGGGAGGCAACCCATGTCTTTTTCTTTCTTTTATTTTCCTTCTTTTAGATAGGCTTGGTTTTGTGCTAACCAGTTTTGAAGTGTATGCAGGAATGGGTGTCCATTGCAGGGACTGTGCATAAAAAATTTGGCTAAGTGTCAAAGTGCATTGTCTCTGAAGTTGGCCTGTCAAAATTGCTTAAGGAATTGCGGCTGCACACATTTTTGTGTGGTCCGCATTGATGATGCGGCCACACTCATTTTGTGCGGTCCGCAGCCAGTCATCTCAAAGGCAGGTAAGGAGTGCGGTCCGCATCAAAATTATGTGGCCGCACTCAAGTTAAAATCTGGGTCCCACGGGTATTAGTATAAATAGGGCTTTCCTTCTCTTTTTACACTTTTCGATCATCTGAGCCCTAAAGACTAAGCTTGCACAATAAAATTTCCCCATTGCTCTCAAATTGTTCCCTCATTTCATCACATGCATCTTCATAATTGGTATGTTAATTTCTTCATTAGATTCTTCATCTTTTGTTTGATTTTGTTCTTAGATTTAGGGTTACTTACATGCCTAAAAATGTCAATGTTTAGTTATTTTTTGCTTAGAATCACCTGGGTAGCTTATTGGTCGTTAATTGGGGTCTGGGTAAGTAGCTAATGTTGTTTGATTGCTAAAACCATGCCTAAATTGTGTAAAGATTGCATGAACCCTAGTTATAGTGCCGTGGATTTTGAACTATG